TTATACATCACTTGGGTTATCGTTTTGATTGATAAGTTAAAATTTTGATGTAATCATAAAATATGAGTGTGATAATCATATGATATGAGTGTGATACTTATGTGATAGAGGTGTGATATGAAGAAAAGATGTTAAATAATCATATGATATGAGTGTGATACTTATGTGATAGAGGTGTGATATGAAGAAAAGATGTTAAGCCATGGAGATTATCATGAACGAAGGAGAAGAAGATAACTACCAAGAGAATAACGTGGAACGTGAAAAGATAATTATGGTTAATTAAAATAAAATAAAAATTATAAAAATTACTTAATTACATTATTGTCCTTATTAAATTATTTATATATAATAAAAGTTAATTTATTAATTAAAAAAGTTTDAGGTTATTGGGTTGTTCTCGCGTTCTCGTAAATCACATGGGTTTTCGTTTGAACCTCCACCTATATATATATATATATATATATATGTATATGTATATTCAATGAATCAATAACTATTGAAAATATAACTCAAAAACAACCACGGATCAACAACAAAGGAAGTCAGCATCAGAGTCTCGGTCCACAACCAAGTCTAAAATCGTTTAAATTCTCTTATGTGCAACAAATACACATTGTCCGATGGTCAGATACGGACGGTTGGGAAATAGGAGTATGAGCACACACCGCCTAAGTCCCACCATAGATTTAACCACGAGCCTCAAGTTCTGAAACTAGTTATAGGATTGATCCACACGTCCTCGGTAGCCAGTTCCGTAAAGGTCGAGTACAGGATATTGTTTGTTGAAGACATCAGTCTTTGTAGTTACTATGTTACCAGATAAATGTGACCCCAAGTCCAGGTTTCTAATTTCTGCAACATATTTCAGTTTCAGAAAGTCATATAAAAGCTCATAAATATAATAGAAGTTTGGTTCCAAAAAAATAAAGGTTATCCTGCTAAATCCATGATGGACATCATCAAACAGGTCGAAAAACCTGTTTAACAATCATAACACATTTTATCAGAAGTTTATCAAGTAAACGCTTATCGGGTGTCATTTGTCGTGCTAGTTGAGCATAACAAGAATCGAGTATTGTGTCCAGTAAAAAGCATAGCAAGGACCGAGATCATACCCGATATCCAATAAGTGAGAAAGAAACCTCTTACCCGACAAGTGTTTACTGGACAAAGAGACCCTTACCACTATCCAATTTGATGGTCGAGAATGTTACTGATAAGGTAATGATTGTAGTGACTCATGTCGGTAAATGTCTGGTAAATGACCCATGTTGTTTTTAGAACGTCAATATTTTTCATTAACTTTTATAAAAAAAAAATTCAGAACGCGGTTATCATCATCCATTTGAATGTTCTGTTAAACCCGTCCTCCAAACAATTACTGTAAACTAAAAATAAAAAACTTATTATAAATACAGAGTTGGGTTTTGGTGAGAAATATAAGAAGAGATCTTCATCTTTAGATCAATCATAATTAAATGTCAACACTAATGAGGTGCACTGAAATGCACTGGATCAATTATCTTCTATAGTATAATTCATGGGTAAACATGAGATTAAAAGTGATCAAGGGTTCAGATCTTTTTTTATGATTATCACCATAACTTTCTTTCTCACAAAGTCTTTGGCCTATAAATACACCGTATTATATATAAATCTATGATTTTAAAACCCAATGGGTCGGTTGGTATTTCATGAGATCTCATATGATTTGTAGGTAATAATAGTTTAAAATACGTTAAAGGCAGTATTTTTGTAATAATCAATTAATAAAAGAGTAATTTAATTATTTTTATAATTTTTTAATAAACAGTGGAATTCAAGTCCATTCCAAATCATTCAAACAAAACAAACCAAAGATTCCAAATCCAAACCCCTCCAATTCCAAATCATTATGTGAAATTCAAATCCCTCAAAATCAAAATCAAAGGTCCCGTTTGAATTACATTCCAATCCCATGTTTGGTTTGAAAGATTTCATTGAAACCCCCCAAACATATGATTAGTTATACGGATTCAAACATATAACTTTAATAAGTTGTATTTATACTTGATCAATTTATAATCTTGAATTATAAGTAATAAGCAGTAAATTTTTAACTTTTTATTTGAATGTTCAATAATATGATTAAGAGTAGACTACAGATTTGGTCTACGTGGTAACGAAAATATCACGCTTACTATAGTTTTGAAGTTACAAGATGACCAACGTAGATTGTAAAACTGATCAAATTTGACCTGTATCTTCAACGACTGCTAAATAATTCTACTAAACGAGGGATATTTTCGTCTTTTTCTCGATTTTTTTTTGTCCTTTACTCAATTAAAATTGATTTTGTGATTTTGCTCCCTTTGGATTATGACCAGGTAAAAAGACAAAAGTCGATAAAAAGACAAAAATGTCTTTCATTTAACATAATTTTTTAACGGCTGTTAGAGACCGAGACCAAATTCGAACGTTTTCAAATACTACAAGGACTCTTTTGTAATTTCGAAAATTTAGAGACAAAAATTATAAAATTGGACCCTTCGTGTTTGTTTTGAATAGTTAGGTTATTTAATTTTTTCATGTGATTAAGAATGTCTTAATTTTTATGTTAATGAACTAAAATGGTTTGGTTTGCGTCTTAATCATTCATGTATACAGTATAATTGTACTGATATTTTTTTAACCATTCAGTATTATTATTATTATTCTAACTGTAGATGTTTCAGTCAGTTTATGTGCATTTTAGATGGTTCATGGAGCCTAGGAAAAGTAAACAAGAAATTCTTAGAGTATCTATAACAGCTTCTCAATAATAGAAAAAATGAAAATTTTATTCTTTATGATATTCCAACAGCTTCCCTAACTCGTTATTTAAAACAGATAATCATGGAAAAAACTCCAAATACAGATGTTACTGTTTTATATATATTTAAAGAAAAGTGTACTGGGACCATGAATTTATAAAATAATTAAATAATATAATTAATGCTAAAACCTGTAAAATAGAGAAGCTGTTGGAGTTGATTGTTATTTATTTAGAGTTTTTCCGTGTTCAAATCCAAGGAGAAATAAAAATCCCCTTGTGGCCACGGATGTTCAAATGCGGTGACTCCGAGCTATCTGCAGAGCAGGTGGTCGTCCTGGGATTAGTCGGCTCGCATAGCGGGTTTGATATCCAGGTTAATAAAAAAATTATTTAGAGATTTTGACTTTTAGTTCTCTATTTTAGAGAAATTATAAAAAAGTTGTTAGATATGCTCTTAGTGAACTTGGAGGGACTCCATCTGAGTGACTTCTAAAAACATAAACTTTATCGTCATTCAATATTCTTAATCAATCAGTATTGTGTTTATGTCATTAAGCTCTGTCAAACATCGTTCTATCAAATTGTTTGGATCATCGTGGACGTTTGCAATGACACTTTATAAAGTTGACGGTTTGATTGTATACTGATTCAGATTGCAATTTCTTTTTTTCAAATGCAAATGTCTGAAATAAGGCCATTCGGACGTCCGAAAACATATCTACGTAGATATTTCTAAATAAGCAATTTTAGACACATCAAATTTTGAAGAACTGACATTTTTTTTTCAATAAAATATCTGATTTTCCAAGGTCAATTTTTTTTCCCAGGAAGATTTAAACATAAATGTTACACTGTTAAAGCTTAGTTTATCCACTTACCGAAATGTTTTAAAATTCAAATCTTTCAAAATCTGTTACTTTTTCTAAAGACGACTTTATAAAACAACTCTGTATAACTTAATATCGTTTTTTACGATAAAAAAACACTGAAAGGCAACTTTTTCTTGAACTCAATAATTTCACACACTACTTTATAAAGCTATAAAGTCACTTTGACTTATGGGTTGTTTGTTTACCTCTTAATAGTTCCATTAAGAGACAGCATCTGAATCGTTAAGAGATGAATCTTGTTTGGTAAAAAAAAATCTCTCTCTTAATGATTATAACCATTTAGATGATTTTGTATCATGTGTCTCCCTTAACCATTTAGCGTCCTAAGTTCGTTATAAATAATTACCGAACAATTATATTTCATTTTGCACTATATCATGAGAGTCTTTTAATCAACCTGACCACGTAATCATTCTGCACCAAACCATTCAGCAACTGTCAAACAACTTATTACTCTTTTTACTAAAAGAATCAAACGATGTTCTAAATCTTCAACCAAAAGCTTCATAAGATTTCAACTTTTGTGCACTATTTTTCTATTTGTGCACTCTTTTTCTTAGGGATCGTTTACTAAACGTTTACCGTTAAATGCTTACGAGATCATTTATTTTGTCGGATGAACATTGTGTGGATACTAGGATTTATTGTGGACAGGAGCATCTTTCCTCAAAGATTTGACCATCTTCCGAAGTTCTAAATAAGTATGAATTTTGGCAGGATTGACCTCTTGCTCCGCCCATTGGTCTTCTATGGAGAGAAAAATAAAAAGGGCTATCGGTCTGTCCTGGGAAGCGAAGAGGACAGGTTTGAAAGTCATTCGGTTGTAACATAGTTGTCTGGTGATTTGAATGATTGAATAAATGCTCATTTAATACCAAAAAAGAATATTAAATTTATAACAGTAATATAGATTGTTAATAAAATTGGTGTTTTGTCAAATCAACAACCCTTAAGACAATTTGTATTCATGGTCTCAACCAATCTGACCGTAACTAAGACAAAAAATTTATTGAAAAACAAAAAGAAATATGTAATCTCATCCAAACTTGGTCGCCACACTAAAGGAGATTGTAATTCTCTATTCTATTTTATATGCCACATGTCACGTTACTATTGGTCCATATTATATTTTTATTTTATAAAGGTTATATGATAAAAAAAAATGGCTTTAATTAAAAAATAATAAATATAGCAAAATTTGTGTATCCAATCATAAAATAAATTTTTATTAAATTTTGTACCAAGTGAAATATTATGTAGTATTCATATATTTTCAATGTGGTTTACTTGTATACAACAAAAAAAGCTTAAATTGCATGAATTGTTTCATTTTTCATTGCATAATTGAATTACAATGATTGGATAAACTGATGCTTACACATTACATGTATACATATACTTTAACTATTTCTTCATATTCTCTTTCACAAAAACATACAATGAATATATATAGATTTGGAATCATGTGAGACCAATTTATTTTAGTGAGACATGTGAGACCATATTATTACACTTGAAATTTCATAGTAAAAACACTGTGAAGGTGGTTCGGATTTTCTTTTACCTTTACAATATTTTCTTGTGAAGTTTCAAGTGTAAAGACAAAGTCTCATGGGTTTCACGAAAACAGACTACTCTCACGTGAATCAAACTCTCTGTGTGTGTGTTCTGCATTCACGCTTTAACGAGTTGTTCTACATTCATTGGGTTTGTAAATTGTGGCGATCCACCATAGATAATGCCTGCAAAAATACCAGATGCTGTTTCTGTCGGATGGTAAAGGTCCCAGAAAAGATGGTTTTTCCGGTTCGTGCAAAAAGTTGAAACTGGAATGCAAGGGATATCGGCTTTTAGGTTGCCAAGTCCACAACAAGCCGCTTTTATCTCCGTAATTCCTGAAATAAATAAAAATACCAATGGAATTAATAATCTTTTATTCTTTACCAATTGACACACCTCTGATAATTTCAGAGGTGTGAAATTGATTAGTTGTGGATAAATTAAGGTAATCAAGTATTAAGTACCGTAATTTTGAGGATGTTGAATGACGCCGTTCATGGCATCGTATAAATGAAAATAGGAGTAGTTAATATCTGATAATTCTGATTTCAGTTCCCTTAGCAAAGCTTGCAGACCGTCGTTGTATTTTTTAGACCAATAATTTGCTTCTGCCTTGCACTCGGTGTTGTTCTGCTTCCTTTGTGCCGGACAACAACCGATCACTCCAACTCCACTTACCACAAATTTACGAGCTCCCAATCCATGCATTTTCTGTAGTCATTTTCACAAAAGCAGTCTTGTTGTAAGAATAATGTAGTCTTTTTACTTTTTTGTATTGTGAATCTATCTGTAAAGGTTTGAAAAGCCAATAATTCAAATTTTTATATGAATTTGGGTGTTGTTCGGCTATTTTTTCACTAACCCTTGCATAGATTAAGCTATAGGTATGAATTAAGCTCACTTGACTATTGTATGGGAAAAAAGTAAGCATTTGAACTTTGAAAGGTGCATCCACTTGATTTTGAATGATGCTTTCAAATATTTTGAAACCAAAAATTATAACAAATATCAACATGAATGAGATGGTTTATATAGTTAAATTAAATCGTGACTCACAATAGGTTCCATGTTAGATTCTTACAACTAGCAAATACTTACATTTTTCATCTTTTAAATTTCGGCCCCAAGGCCCCTACGAGCCCTACAATATCATTACTAAAAATATTAACACTACTGAATGAAAGGCTTTTACCTATTGAATCCATTACCGACTAAACGGTTATTCGGGTAAACGTTTACCAAGTTATATTACCTTACTGGATTAATATGGTATGGACCAAAAATCTTACCCGGTAAGAGCGAGACAAGGACCAAGAGTATTATCCAGTAAGTGATGACGACAAATCTTACCACGATAAGCGCTTACCGCGTAAATTGTTGCATACGATGCCGTTTTTGTGGACAAAAATCTTATCCAGTAAATAAATAATAGTGTATAATTTTATCGGTAAGCACTTACAGAATAAGTGTTTGGTAAACGGCTCCTAAATAAACTTTTTGGGTAACTGAAATTAATGAATAAGAAGTTGGTTTACCTTGATGAGTGATTTGAGAGTGGAGACCATGAGATCAACATATTGTTGTGGGGTGTATTGTTTGGAAACATTGGAATCTTTATTGAAGTAGCCAAAGAGATCATTGCTTCCAATAATGATGAGAAATAGGGACTTGGATAAGTGGGTTTGAGCAGCGGCTGCACCAAGTTGCTGAACCAGTTGGTCATGAACCAGAGAGTAGAACTCCACTTGCTTTGTTAATGGAATGGATTGTTTCTGTAAATTAGTATAAAGAAAAGAATGTTAGAAGATGAACATGAAAGCGGGGATAGCTCAGTTGGGAGAGCGTCAGACTGAAGATCTGAAGGTCACGTGTTCGATCCACGTTCACCGCATTTTTGTTCTTTTCAGAATTTGATTTAAGAACAAGAATTGATTCGTGGTTTGGGCCTTTCTTTTCAGCTTTTTAGTGGACGAAATAAAAGGACACTTTAAGGTTCACACTCAGCTATGCATTAACGCGGCGTCTTTAAAAGTATATATAACAAACTTTATATCTATACTATATTATAAAATATTTGATCCAATCTTTTAAAAAACAACTTTTAAAGCATTATGTATTGTTTATTGATGTATATTACTTAAAGTTTAAGATTACAAGTAAATTGTTCGTATGTACAACTTATTAAAGCTTAATATTTGAATTTGTGTAATTAACTACATATAAACATAATCAAATTCTGGAGAACTATCTTATTTTAAATATATAAAATCTAAAATATATTTAGGATAATCATTAAATTCAAAATACTAAATATTATCTTTATAAAAGAATTATATTATTAAAATAAAAATAAATGATTTTATTATTAAATTTAAATTAAATTATAATAAAAAATAGAATTAAAAAAATTACACAAAAAACAAGAAATTTTAAATATTTAATTTGATATAATCGATATATATATATTTTTAAAATTTTATGATACCTTTAAATTTGTATTTTATTAAAAAAGTAATACATTATCGTTTTTTCGGTACCACATAAAATCGTATTATAAGATCGATGGTGACAGAATAAAATAAAACATTAAAATCGAGATGTATCTTACTGCATTGCACGAGTACCCTTCTAGTTATTTAAAAATAAAATAAAATCTTTAAACCAAAATCACATAAATTTTACATTCTTTATTTTAATTTTTTAATACTAATTATATTATTAAAAATATAATTTTATTATCTTAATATATTTTTAATATAAAATTACAATAATTATATTATCAAAATATTATATAATTTTATAAACTAATACACTTAAAAATAAACTTTAAATAAAACAATAATAATCCAAACTCGGAAATGAATAAAGAGGATTTATCTTTCCTTACATCAAGTTATAAAAAGTTATGAATACACTTCATTAGTGTTCATATTTAATTAGAATTGATTTAATGATATAAATCTTTTCGTATGTTTCTCACCATAACTTCCTTTTTCACTAGAACCCAAACCTAAAACAAATTGTTAATAAACATCTCTTATCTGGTAAACTCAAAGTTTTTGTTCCCTTATAAGATAAGATTATAGATCATTGTCATGTACAACAAATAAGACAAATGATAAATGGTAAATGCTCACCGCAACTACTTGGTAAACGGCCCTTAGGTTCACACTCTCCTACGCATTAATGGTGTCCTTACCCGTTGATAACTAAAAGACCGAACTTAGCTATCAAGTATCAACCCCACACATATTCATTCACCACCATATTTTAATTTGTGATCTAAGTCTAGGCGAAAATTTATAGTTTATAGATTATAAACAAATGGAGAGCTGAATCACGAAATCGACGTTTGAATGAATGAATTGCATCAGTAATATATATATATATATATATATATATTGTATATATGTTCTCACAAATAGTTCATCTGTTCCATTGAAGATTCCGGCACCGCCAGATGCAAAACTGATTCCGGTAACCGTCGCATTGGAGCTGCTCAGCTTTTTTGATTTCGACACCAATGATAGATACGCCGGTGCGGACGGTAATCCGACCTTCTCAGCTGCCAAATCACACAAAAACATTTCAATTCCGACACAAATCGAAACTTAACCTAACTCTTATTCCTGAATCATAACTGCATGGAATCATAAAATCATCTACAGTATCGAATAATCGAACCATACCTAAAAAATCGGCAGCATTTTTTCCATTACTAAACCTTCCGGTAGCCTTCCCGGTCGGAAAATCGACGCCGTTGTGTGGAAAATTAGCTTTGGCGAGGGATAGAGCTAGGTAGTTGTTGTTTCCGACGTCAACCAATGAGTCTCCGAATATGTAAAGTCCGGGAACTGATTCACACAGAACAACACCAGATCTGAAGATGACAGCGCAGAGAAAGAATGAAACGATGAAGCTAAGTGGAGGTCCGTTAATGGAGGTAGTCATGGATGGTTACTAGTGTGTGTTTTTGTGTGAAAGTGTGGGTGTTCCGGGATGGAAGGAGATGGGGGTTTTAAAGGGATGAAATGGAAGTTAAAATAGGAGTGTGAACGAAGAGGAGAAAAATGGAAGGTACGATTCTGTTAGCGTGTGCGTGCATTTTGGGGTTGTACAGTAAGTTTCTAATTAATGGTCCATTTCGGTTTTTATATGTATACAAGTGATATGATTTAATATACGTGTCAATCACTAGTATTTGTCTACTTTATTAATTATGAAGTGATTCCCACATGATGCATTGTGTACGGAGGTTAATGACATCCCTATTCATTATTAATGGTATTTTTAATACTACTTTAATTATTATTGTTTTTTTTGTTTTTAATGTTTTTTGTTTTTTTGTTATTATT